AGGGGCACAGGGGAGGCCACCCCCCCCCCAGCACACTCCCCGGCAGACCCAGAAGTGCTTCTGGTCCACTTCTGGGTCGGCTGCCAAGCACACTGGGGACCCCCGCCACAGTCCTGTGGGACACTGCATCTGCCCCACCATCTCAGCGTTCACCAGCCACCTGGTACCTTGAGATATATAGAAAAAACATTTAAAGCTGTTTCTGTCGGAATTGTCGAATCTTTCCAAATCTCTCCGAATTGATTCAGAGGGTTCTGATTAGATTCGGGAAGATTAAAAGGTCCCCTGATTTGATTTGGATTCAGAGATTTTCCCACCAAATTGGGCTGCATCGCTACTGAATTGAATCAGCAACCAAAGATTTGCACAGCCCTAATATCTACCTATGCTTAGATATTTCCAAAGAACCCATTGCCATAAGTAGCAGTATTTTTCCATCCCTGCCCCCTGTGTGAGAGAGGTTAACTAAGCCTGGCTAATTCATTAGAACTTTGAATTGTAAACCTGCATCATATCTAAAGCAAATCCCCAAAATTACTGATTAGATTTATTATTTTTCTAAAAATCTACAAGGTAGCAATGTAGTCTGAATTAATCTGTCTTTAAATGTAGAGTTTAAGTCAAGCTATATAAACATACAGTCAAGGTCAGACATAGTTTGTTATTTTTCTAGACAAAATCCAGGGTGATTAGATTAGAAAGCATGTTAACTTAAAGGTTACAAGATACTCTGGGTACACATTGTTACTAATGTAAAATCTAAATTGTATTATGATTAATAAATCTTTTCTCCGTTATGTTTTTTAAACCAAACCATATTTTCTAATCATATTCAATTTATCTACATTCCTATTATATTATGTTATCTTCTTATACAGATAAGGGGGAGCTCTTTGTACCTACTCCAAATTATTTTGAGATTGTCTACCTGCATTCCGATAAACCAGCAGTGATTCCTTGTCGCATAACCAACCCATCAGCTAAAGTAACTTTACATAGGGAGTTTCCAGCAGAAGAAATCAAGACAGATGGGACTAATATTATCTATGATATGAAGAAGGGTTTTATATATCAGCATCCTACGTCAGACCACAAAGGGGTGGTCTACTGTAGAGCAGAGTCACAGGGAGCCCCTCAAATTTCCATCAAGTATCAACTACTGTATGTGGAAGGTAAGATGGGTGCTAGGTAAATTTCTATACATTAGGGCTTGTTCCTCATGGTTGGGTTGCTTAAGGAGTAAACTTTCAAATGGGAATTTGAAAAAGAAAACCTGAATCATTCTGGAGCTTTGAACATGCATCTTAACAGTATCTAAAAAAAAATGTAGTTCATAAGACACCTTGCTGTGCAAGGTATGCCTATGTATGAAACGTTATGTACTATAATACATACAATGTATGAAGACATACTTTTCAAGAAAGGACAGAGATAAATCAGTAAAATATATTTTTATGGTTAGAGGGAAACCTGGGGTGCACAGCAAATTCCAAGAGCGCCTATAGCTAAATACAATAATGGAGAGCTCTAGAAGACCCTTGATAAGTCAAAACATGGATTTCCTCAATATGGTATTTTATTGGTGTTTTTGTTTATTTTGGAAACTTGTTTCCTGCCTTCTCCTCCTGCCTTTCAATCAGTTCCCACTGGCCCACCATCAACAACAATCATGGCATCATCCAGCAAAGTAGAAGGTGGTGACAATGTTAATATTCTCTGCACAGTCCTTGGGGAGCCAGATATAGAAGTAAAATTTGGTTGGATGTATCCAGGACAAGAGGTAAGGCATGCAATTCCATCTTTCAGGGTTTCTTTTTTAAATAGAAAATGTACATAATATAGTGCTTTAAATTTTAGTCCACATTTGCTAGCTGTGATGAGACAAGACTATTCAGATTTCATAATGTACCCTGCTGCTAGCCCTGTCACATCATCTGAAAGCCACATACTCGCTTGTTTTTTATTGTCTTCTTCACTGAGAGCCCAGAGGTTCTTTGACAATTGTATCCCTGCTAGTACATTCAAGCTCTGTGGGGCTTAGTGGGCAAACAGTTAAAGATAGATGCAATAAAGGACCTGGATCTGTAAAATGTTGGATAGCTGGACCCCCTTGTAGAATTCAAAACCCTGAGTAAAGTGCCTCAAGGCATGAGATGAGAAAGTTCTACTGGGATTCAAAGCAACCAAAATGTTGAACAAGGAGTGACCTATTGCTAGTTGAGAGAGAAACGCTGCAGTGAGTGGTGTGTGACATCCATCCTCTCAAGCCAAACTGTGGGGGAGGCACTTCCATCTACTTGGGATCCACAACCTAGAATCTTCTTTGGTGGTTAGTCACCCATAGTCATGTTTCAAAGAGCGGGATAGGGTTTGATTTCCTTTTGATAGTATTGGTGTTAGCTACCTTTTATGGTTGGTCTACTAGTTAGAGCAGTTGCCCAGGAAATGGGAGACCTTAGCCTGATTGGTATAAGCTCACACCTCCTACCTCCAAGAAGCATGCCTAAGCACCAGGCTATATGGGCTATTGTGAGTAAGGGCACTCTCCATTCCTTCTGTGAAAGTTATGATACTACAGAAAAGAATTAAAAATGTATTGGGCCAGAGGAGATATGATCATGTTTTCCAGTGGGTAGAGGAGAATCTCAGGTTCTGCTTTTATGAGTATTTTTATATTTCATATTCAAGTCATGGGATAAAATGCAATTGATTTCACCCACTTGTATAATCCACAGGGCCTAAATTCTGCAGGTTGCAAGGGGTCCCCTTTGACTTCATAGTGGTTTTCAGTTACAGTTTTACTGTAACTGTAACTTGTACACAGTAATCCACAAGAGAGAGTGTCTTTTTGGGTTCATCCAAAGCATTTGGGAACCACTGCATTAGACTATTTATAAAAGGTAGGCATCATCCTCCACACTGAAAAGAAATGCCCACAACTGCATTTTATGGGCAGCCTTATTTTCTTTGGGGTATTAGACACGCTTTGGGAATGTATGCCTGAATGAGACCTTCAAGAACACCCAGTTTCTGATCCTGATGGGGTTTAGGCACCAAACTGCAAAACCAAGGTGTTTCTGGCCCTGGGTAGAAGCACAACTCCCAGTTCCCCAGGAACTTTAAAGTAAAACCATCGAGGCACCAGGGAATTTAGATTGATCCTTTCACTTTATCCGTCTAGCTGAACAGCAGGTTTTTCTGTCTTTATTCTGCTTTAGACATGCAAGTCCTTTATTGGGCCTGGCCTGGCCCTTAATGGCTGCCACGGCACCAGGTTCTCTCACATGAGTTATAGTTCATTTCTTGCTCAAGGCACTCTCCTGATAATGAGGATCTGGCCTATAACCTTTCATGAGCTCTAAAAGGAGGAGTTGCCATTGAAGGGCTATTTAGAAGCTTTAGATAGAAAGCTGCTTTCTATGGTATGTCAAAGCAGTTCTTCTTTCATGGAGCCATGTGTACTTGTGTGGCTGTTTACTGCAAGGTGCAATTCAAAGTGATTACTTTGATCTGCACTATTAACATTTAAAGTAGATATACATATACTTGATGAATAGCCACTCCCCCCACCACGCTGTATTAGCCCATAATTTGAACGTCAGGTGGCAGGACACACCAAAATCAATTTTTGTCCCGTAAATCCTAACTAAGTGGTCAAGGAGTTAGATGAAGCTGGTATATATTTGTGAACTACACTCCTGCCTTTCTGGAAGCCTAACTGGTTTCTGATATGTCTTATCTTCCATAACCATTTATCCTCCTGTGCGCTAAAAAAACCCATACTAAATCTGAGCAAGTCTGGTGCTGGCAGAGTGAGTTTGTAGACTGACAACTTCAGATACTTGTCATTCTTGCTGTATATCAGACAATTCATCTACTACAAGGAACAGCTTTGCTTACAACAATTGTGTCTGAAGGGAATAGATAGAGAATAAAATTCTGTTTTCAGTTTTATGTTCAAACAGAATTAAGATTTTAGAATCATCTTAGTAGAGATGTGTTTTATCTTGCATTGAATCTTAGCATTAGTGAAGTTAACACATATTTAAGAACATTTTTGCAAAGGAACTAGTTGTACTATTCTTAAACTTTTTTCTGCTACATATACAATATGGGAGTGGGGAGTAGCAGGTCAGGAGTGAGGGGCACTGGGTCAGGATTTACTATTGATGTTTACAAATGGGTCCTGGAACAAAAAAGGTTGAGAACCACTGAGTTAGAGCACTTGGGAACCAGAGGGTGATTTGGGAAAGGGGGTGGAGAATGAGGATCACCTGTAGGACATCTGGGCTGAGGGGGCTCTTCATATTCCCTTAAACATCAGTGTATAGGAACAAGTGGGTCTCCATGGAGGTACTAAAACACAGGAACCTTGAGTGACTGTTGTTGTGAATGCAGGGAACAGGACTAGATGGGTCCTCTGGACCTAGGCCATTAAGTCCACTGTGATGGGAAGAAGTTTATTCCTGAAAATACAGAATATGGTTGGTGCAGGGCTGCTACTGTTTTCCTTTCCAGAAATTATGGATGGATTAAGCTAGCTTGGCTCTCTCTACAGCTGAAGATACTTGTAGTATGTAGGCATGCAGTTAAGAAAGAAGTATTAACACAACTGGGCCAGAGCTGCTACATGGGTCATCCAAATAGTTCAACCCACAGTCCTGGAGACTAAACTGGGAGAGTTATCCTATCTTTACCTTGCGTAAGAGTTAGCAACTGGCTATGCTAACACTTAAAATAAGGTCACAAGTGCAAAGAGAAGACATGCAGTTAGGCTGTAGCCTCAGTGGGGAGCAGGGAAAAAATAAAATCAAAGGGCTAAATACAACAAAATAATTAGAGGCCGAAAAGTCAGCGGTCAGAATAGAATGCAGAATCTTGAGTAAGGCTGGAGCAGAGGGGCAGCATTTCAGATCGGGATACAAAATTACTAGTGCACTGACCAGAGAGTCTCCTAGAGCTTGCAGATAGGGAACACAGGATCCACAGTCCAGCACCCCAGGCACAAGCTATGCTTAGAATTGGGGCACCCCAGGGGCTTCAGTGCCTCCAGAGTTGGACAGCAGCTGAGAGGTGGGTTTTGGATAGCTAGTTTATATTTTTGGTGAGTAGACTTGGCCCAAATTCTCTAGTGGGTCTGCTGTCTCAGTGCATTCCAAAAGAGGAGGAAAAAACCAAAATAAAAGTAGTAGTCAAATATAAACACACCATTTATTGTTTGAAAATAGCTGCAGTGACTGCCAGAAAACATCCCCTCAGCTTCCTCACACCATCTGTCTAATTTTAGACTAGACTCCTACATTTGTTTCAAGGGTTGATAGAAAATACTGTTATACACTCTTGCTAAATAATGTTTGAAGAATTTATACAATATCACTTCATTATGTGGGTGTTTTTTAAACAGTCTGAAAGGCCTGTGACTATCCAAGATTCTTGGAGGCTGATTAACAGAGGAATTGGACATACCACACGAATTTCCAGGAGTGTTATTGTCATTGAAGATTTTGAAACCAATGATGCTGGAAACTATGTTTGTGTAGCTCAGAATTCACGAGGACAAACCACTGTAGCTACCAGTGTTGAACTGGCTTGATTTTGCAGAGCTTCTGGACACTGAAGGAACTGACAGCATGTTGCTGGATACATTAACCTTTACATTTCTTATTAATTTCTGAGCTGGTACTTTCTGTGCTATTTCTCTCTACACACCAAACCATTCTACTTTCATTACACAATAGTGGCCTATGGCAGAGTTCCTGTTGCTTAGCAATAGTCAGAAGAATTTTGGGTTAAGAAACATATTGCATTAAACCAAGTATTAAACCTGGTTGTGCATGTAGCTTTGAGTGTCCCTGATACAATGATCTCAGGGAGACAAACGGGGAAAGACTATATACAGACAGCATTTATATTTTTATCTTGTTAGTAAAGATGGTTTAATTGTGCTTTATAACAAAGGCTGAGAGGCTATAAAATAACTTAAATGTACTAATGGGAGGTGCATTTTTCTCTTGCCTTTGTGGCAGTTTTGAAGTACTGTATCTGTGTTAAAAAAACACCATAGCCAACAGTGATTATGCTTCTTTGTTTTTACAATATTTTAATTAAATTACTTTTCTGAATATTGAAAAAAAATTGTATATGAATGGTTTTCACATGTGCTATACCAAGGACAGTTAGGATTGCATACATGGTAACTATAAAATGCTATAACATCACAACATATTTTAATTGCAGGTGGCCTCTTGAAATAAGGAAAGTATTTTAGCTTTTTTCTTTTTAGAATCTTTGAAGTTGTATTCCTGCCATTGCCCTAATAGTGTTTATTTTTAAAAACATACATTTCTACATTAATGAGGATGAAACTAGTGCTGGAGAGTAGAGATATTATTTGACTAAAGGTACCTTTCAAAGAAAGAAGGAAAAAAAAAAAAAAAAAAAAAAAAATCAAACCATACTGATTGTAGCGCTGAATGAGAAGGAATCCTGCTGTGCACCCACCAGGTTAGTAACAATTATTTTGATTGTATTAGTTTAATTTGCTATTACCTTTGCGTAAGTGAAAATGGAACACCTAAAACCAAAGTAAAGAAAAGATCTAGACTTTGCTGTTCATCTCTCTACTAAATAGCAATAGAGTAAGTTACTAAAAGGAAGATTAAATAGTCTAACACAGTGGTATTCAACCTTCTGATCCCATGGGACAGAAAAGTGGCACAGACCCAGTCTGTGAGATGGATCCCCCATGGAGTTGGCTCTCGGGGTCAGTCATCGGGTATAATCTGGTACTATAGCCCAGCCCCCTGCATTGGATCTGGCCACAGAGAGACCCAGTGCACTGGTGCGCAGGGCTCCCTCTGGGTCTGGAAATTTGGCAGCAGGAGAGCAACGGCACTGTTAATTGCTGCAAAATGCTGCCATGGCTCAGCTGCTGTCAAATTTTTGGACTGCCGGGGAGCCCCACAGGCTGGCTGACATGGCTCTGCAAGCTGCAGGTTGAACTAATAGCTTCCTTTTTCTATCTAAAGAAAATAATTTAGTTTATCTAATCATAAACCATGTCATTATATTGCCATTTTCCAGACTAACATTTCAATAGCAGTTGCCCACCCTGACGAACCACCAGCAGAAGAACAGCCCAATAGCATGTCTGCCGGCCCTTTGAGCCAAGCATCTCAGGATAAATTCATGGGATTGCAGATTCTTCCTCCTTCGAACAGAAATCTAAAAGAGATGGGTATCTTTGTTGCCTATTTATTCACTAAAATGTACAAAGTCCTGCTTCTCTAAGCACAGGAGTGGTCAAGCACGTGCAACGTTTGCTCAAGTGGTATCCAGCTGTCTCTGCAGCTTCTGACTCTCCCTCAGCTGTACGTGTGTGCATAACCTCTACCCTCCTTCACTAAGGAACACCTAGCAGATGGTCAAGTTCTTGAGCAAGCATGTATTGTATTTTCTTATATACAGTATGCCAGAAAACAAAACATATGCCTTGTTTTTTAATGCAAAAGGTTTGAAAAAAGTTTTCCAGAGTTGTGGCGGACTGTGACAGAATAACCCCTGCTGGAAACAGGGTCCAGGTAGTGTGGTATCCCAGGAGATAATCTGGGTAATGCAGCAGGAACTTCCTGCCACACCAGCTAGTTCCTGCTGCCTCACCTAGACCATCTTCTGGGATGACACTTTGTGGACACCATGTTCCCAGAAGGATTTATTTTAATCACGCAAGATTAGGCCTCAGACCTTTGTGAAAGCTATAGCAATGTTGTTAGTTCTGTATTTTAAGTATCTCTGTAAACCCTCCTATAAATGAAGTGTTGTCTCCTCATCACAGGCCTTATCAAGATACTACCAGCAGCTCACTTGTTGCTTCAGACCCAAGCTACACTGCTTAGCCAGTGGCCATGGCTGTGAGAGGGTTAACACAGGACTCTGCTCCTTTAGCTTGCTGAACCAGACAAGCAGCAGCTAAACTACTCTACTAAATTACCAAAGGCAATAGAGTAAGTTACCAAAAGGTAACTTCTCCACTTAATGCACGCAGCCTGATTTAGGGGAAAAAGGTGCATGCTGTATATGAGAAAATATGGTACGTCTTTGCTTTAGGGTGTCACAGGCTTAAATGCCTCTTATGTGAAGGGCAGTTGTTATAATCTCGAGTTTTAGAAAGAAATTAACCTAGTCTGTGTCATTAACCCAGGTTGATCAGGGTAACAATATCATATTAAAAAGGCAAATTACATCTCTTGAGAATGTAGAATGTAATTCTATGTACTCTGGAAGAACCTACAGCTTTATCTTCATACAATGATGACTTCCTGTTAATAGCCAGGGAAAGAAGCATCAGACATTTCAGATAAACAGTAACATTTTACTTGTTAATCTAACGGTGGAGAGGACGGAAAAATTTTCAAGGCCAGACAACCTGGGAGAAAGTTTGAACTAAGATGTTAATGTCATAATAAAATAAGAGTAGGACTGGACAATTCACTTGTGCACCATCTCAGAGCTAACTGTGCATATAGGATACCCAATTTAGGAGTAATATCATAAAGAGAATGTAAAACAAGATGTTTAAGATGTAAACCAAGTACACCCCTGTTTTATAATCTTTCATTTTTAGAGCCTCATTCCAAGTGACATACTAGTAAAAAGAGTTAAATGTGGTCTCCATCCTTCCCACCGTTTCTCTTCAGGGAAAAGGGAATATCTGACTGATCAGAGGAAAGACATTCCCAGGCTTAGAAGAACCTAGGATTTTTTTTCTCGTCCCAGAACATGAAAAAATCCTAAGCATTTGCCTTTGGATTTATTGGTTCTAATTTCAGTTTTCAGTACCTGTAAGCCTTATAATTGATTGGATGATTCATTTCCTTAAAATGTCTAGGTGGTGAGCCAGGACCACCTGCTCCAAATACTTGTTCAGTAACAGCGAAGATAACCTTAGAAATTGTGCAAAGTGGTAAGAAATCTGTGGTTCTGCATTTCTTAGGTCAGTTGTGCTGTTGCCCAAGCTCAGCATAGCTTAACATGACTTTAGTAGTTCAACATACTAATCATGTAAGGTTTTTAATATTTAAAGAGAACTGGACTTTTCATGGAAGGAGCTCAGGGTTTTGGCAAATATTCATAAATTAAATGCAGCATTCCCATAAGTGAAAGGGAAGTTTGAGATATGGAGGGCTTGATTCTTCTCTTCCACAGTTGGAAATTCATATCTCCATGGAAATAAATGGAGTTAGTATTGTCTAAATACTGGCAAGTCCAGGGTCACATTCTCCAGCTCTGCCAAAGGGTTCCTTTTTCTAGTCCTATGCTTTGAGCGCATTACCCTACACAATTATTGGAACTGGAGAGAATAAAATCTTGGGAAAGCAGGGAGAAACAGAGAGAAAGTAACCTCGCCTTTGTTAACACTCCTGCTTTTCCAAGATGAGCATTAAAGATTTACAGAGCCTGGAAATAAGTATAGCAGCTATTCATGCAATTTTCTATCATAAAGAAAAATGGCTTTTTGATCCTATTAGCTATACAGGGTCAGCTAAAACTAGCTCAGCCCTGGTTGTTTTTCTAGTTCGTTGTAGTAAAATGAAATAACATTATTTTATCCACTGACTGGAAGAAAAGTATCTGTGCATGAATGCAATGTAAAAATATTCTTGGAGTTTGCTATCAAGAACTCAGACAACTCAAAAATGTTTCTGAATGCAAGTCTTTCTTAGGACAGGTACTGCTGTATAGTAAGTAATATAAGGAAATGATTCAACCTTGTTTGTGAGGATAGGATATGCTAGTTAGGAAGTTCAACCTTGCAATTTTTTCCTCTGCTGGTCTTACTCCAATAGCATGACAACAATTAATTTGAAGACAATAAGTACCATTGTAATTTCCTTTGTTTAGAATGTGTTACCAAGAGAGCTGGCAACCATTCATAGGATTACATGACCTAATGCTGGAGTGACGTAACTTAATTCCCAATCTTGCCTCACAATAACTACAAGACCTGTGAACTCATCTCTACTGCCACAACAATCAGTATTCTCCACAACAAAACCATTTGAATCCGTAGTACACGTCTATTCCAGAATGTGGTATATCACCTAGTACACCAGCTGCCCTCATGGTAACTATGTGGGTGGAACCAGACAAAAACTACACACAAGAAAGAATGATTACTGGAAAAAAAAAAAAAAAAAAGATAAAAAGGGACAGAGACAAGACCACAGCTAAATAACCTACCCCCCTGTCCTCAGTTCTAGGCTCAAGGGATAATTTACAAAACACTTTCAAAAAGCAAGCCTGGAAACAAAAATTTGTTAGTTATTGGACTAATGAATCAAGGATTTAGAAACCATGACTTCATGGTCTATTATAATTTACCTGATACTTGCTAATCTCTGGGTTTTGCAGGTGATAACCCTCCTGAACAATCCTGCTGTCTGCCATCAGGTTTTTACTGTATCACCTGTCTGTTGGCTACTTAATTTATCTTGTATCCTGTTGTTACTTAAATGCAGTGTTTTATACAATGCCATCTGTGCTGTGCCTGTTTCTCTCCCAGAGACCCAGGAAAGGGTACCATGGTATCCCAAAGCTTGTCTATGTCTATCCCAACCATATAATTGGGCAAACAAAAACTCATAATCTAACACAAAGTTGTAAAAAACAAACAAAAAAACAAAAACAAAAATGTAATTTCCAGAAGCTCCACGTATTTGTCTTTGTCACATTTCAGAAGTTGCTAAGTCCTCCAGCTAGAATAATTCAGTTTTGGTCCAGGAAATCACATTCTGGTTTGGGGTTTTTTAGTCACCCACTGGGGCCAGAAACTTGTCGCCACTAGTATGGTAGGCAATTAGTTAGGAATTTGTGTAGTAAATTTTGTTAGAGATTGTCACAGGGCACCTCAGTGCCTGCTCCTAGGGAGTAGAAACTGCCAGGGAGAGAGAGCCCTGGCAGGACATAACGAGCCCAGATGAGGGTTGCCAGGGTAACGAGCGCAGCTGTGGGTTGCCGGAGCAACTAAGGAGAGCCAGCTGCCTGTGGGAGGCAGGGCCTGGCCCTTATAAAGCCCAGGGCTGAGGTCAGGCTGGCAGTTCCCTGCCAGCAGCCAGAGGGGCAGGAGCTTCTGGAGCTAGGAGGCGAGC